TCCTCCCGTCACTCTAGGCTCAGTATACCGCGAGCTGTAGCTCGCGGTATACTGAGACGCCGCAGTATACCGCGAGCAGGTATACTGAGACGCCGCAGCTGAAGCGGATCCCGACAATTGTGCTGGCGGATCGGAGCGGGGAGGGGGGAATCCAGCCCCTCCCCTGTCACGGCAGAGAGCTGTGACAGGATCGAGAGGTGAGCGAACGCCGGTATGTGTTCGCTCACCTCCCGATCTACTGAGCCGACCTGTGACAATGAGACTGTTATATACTGAGCTTTGGGTCATGGGAGGAGGTTAGTATATGTCCTCCTGTGACCCTAAAGAGAACAATGGGGAAAAACAAACACTCACCCCATAGTTCTCTTTTAAGAATATAAACTGTAACCTTTTTGTGATCATGTTAGAGCATAAACACGAGCAGTTTTCAGTGTTGAGCAGTACTGACATGATACATAGGGGTTGATTTACTAAAGGAAAAAAGGCGGTTCACTTTGCAAGGGAATATGCACTTTGCAGGGGAAGTGTCCCTTAGCTTAGTTAATGTGGTGAAACTTCACTTTGTAAAGAATACTCAATCATGTGCAAGGAAAATGTAAAAAACTGAATATTTTCTTGAACATGATTAGGTGATGGAAGGCAGCAGAGCTTTCCCTCGTTCACTAAACTATGGGCAAACTTCTCCTAAGTGTAAATTCACTTGCAAAGTAAACAGCCTATTTGCCTTTAGTAAATCTACCCAACAGTGTTTAGTTGAGCATAAGCTGCACATTGCATTTGCTAAAGTAAACACACTATAGGGTTGGGTCCATACTGATACTGCTATCCTTATTCCCTTGAGAGCTTGTTTAACCCATATGCACTTCACAGTCATTGATTATTAAAGGAGAACTATGGGGTCAGGGCTTTTCCCCATAGTTCTCTTTAGGGTAACGAGAGGACACAAACTAGCGTCCTCCCGTTACCCTAAGCTCAGTATACCGCGAGCTACAGCTCGCGGTATACTGAGACGCCGCAGCCGGAGCGGATCCCGACATCGTGAGTGACAGCTGGCTCTGCCTGTCTAGAGGCAGAGCCAGTTGTACCCGCCCCCTCCCCCATCCGTTCCGCAAGTCAGCGCTGGCGGATCGGAGCGGGGAGGGGGGAATCCAGCCCCTCCCCTGTCACGGCAGAGAGCCGCGACAGGATCGAGAGGGGAGCGAACGCCGGTATATGTTCGCTCACCTCCCGATCTACTGGGCCGACCTGTGACAGTCTCATTGTCACAGGTCGGCTAGAACTATGAGGTGAGTGAAAAGCACTCACCTCATAGTTCTCGTTTAACAAAGACTACCAAATACAGCAACTTGACAGTGCTGTGCTTTTTGTCATTAAGCACAGCAACCTTTGCAAACTGGGCGCCATATAAGAACAATGCACTTAATATTTTTTTTTTTTCCAAAGTAAAGTTTTTACATAGCTAAATAAAAAATGCACATTAGTTTAACACACTGACATAAAAAGACAGCCAAGGTTGAATGATAAAGATTTGAAATACCTCTTCCCACTATTTCTGATAATACATTCATTTACAGTGAATGCACTGTATGACAGTATAAAGAAGGAGACAAAGATAAAGAAAGTCATCTATTATTGTAGAGGACACAATAGGACACGGGGAGACTAATTAGAAGATAAATTGTACAGGCTTTAAATGCCATTTTATAATTTTCTGTAACATATTCATTTGCAAACAATAATCTTATGTGATGTATGCCAGCATAAAGGCATAAAGAAAGGATTTTGAGTAAAAAAACAAACGTGTATGTATTGAAAAAATGTACCTTAAACAGCTGATCAAATTAATTCTAGCACGTGACAAATTTTAACTACACTTTTCAACTATTTCAGACAAAAACGTGCTGATTTTAGCGAACTCTGCAGGCCTGCAAGGTAAAATGCATATGTTTATCACTTCCCCTATTCCCCCACTAGCAAGAATTATATTTATTTATATATAGCCACCAACCTAATTCAAACAGGGAGTGGTAATATCATTGTTACCATCACTATGCAAAAATTTACCATGTAGGGTCTCTAAAGCAGTGGTCTCAAAGTACCGGCCCGCGGGCCGGTACTACCGCGTTTCCCCCGAAAAGAAGACACTGTCTTATATTTTTTTTTTCAACGAAAAAAGACACTAGGTCTTATTTTCGGGGGATGTCTTATATTTACCTGGCTGCAGCAGTCCGCTCTCAGCTCTGATGCCGTCCACTTTGACCCCACTGGCTATGCTGCGCTGTGACTGCTGGGAAATGTAGTCTTCAGCGGCAGCCGAGGCAGACAGGTGGGTGTGTGTGTGTGTGTGTGCGTGCATGCGTGCGTGCGTGCGTGCGGGGGGAGGGAGCTGCGGCCGGTCTTCACATGTAAAATTCTATTATATGTGCAGCTACCCCGAAAGTAAGACCTAGTGGATCTCTGTAATATAAGACCTACCACCGAACTAGGTCTTATTTTTGGGGTAGGTCTTATATTACAGAAATCCCTGAAGATAGCGCTAGGTCTTATTTTCGGGGTAGGTCTTACTTTCGGGGAAACACGGTATATGTGGCCCGCAGCCAGCTCACAAATCAGGTACGCGTACGCATCTCCAACAGAGATCTAGACCGCAAAGCTGCTTCAGTGCCGCACTTGGGTTGATTAGTAAGGTCTGCAGCAGACCTTACCAATCAATCACCAGCGATCATGCCTCCTCACAGCCTGCTCCCTGCAAAAAGGAAGGAGAGGGGGCTCTTTATTTTACATGCGGGGGGACTGGGAATTGTATTATTTTTTATGTGTGTGTGTGTGTTTGTGTGTGTGTGTGTGTGTGTGTGTGTGTGTGTGTGTGTGTGTGTGTGTGTGTGTGTGTTATATATATATGTGTGTATGGGGGGGGGGGGGTGTATTATTTTATATGTACATGGGTAGTTTTTTTAATGTGTATTGGTGTATGGGGGGGAGTGTATTATTTTATATGTGCAAGGGTAGTATTTTTTATGTGTATGGGGGTAGTGTATTAGGCTCCATTCACACCTGTACCTTCACGTGCGATTAGGGATTCCTGCGTCAGGAACTTGCATTTTCCTGCAGCAGGAATCTGGCCTAATCTGGCGTTTAAAAGCGGCAGCTATCACCCATTCAAGTTAATGATCAGGTGACAGCCACTGCATGTAAACACCTGCAAACCGCATGTAATGATATGTGATATGATTACATTTGGTTAGGAATCAATCACTCTCCCTGGATGTATCGATTGTGCATCCAGGGAGAGTGTTTTCTAACTGCATGTAATCATATCACATACCATTACATGCGGTGGGCAGGCGTTTACATGCAGCTGCTTTTACCTGATCATTAACTTGAGTGGGTGACAGCTGCCGCTTATAAAAGCCAGATTAGCGATTACTGCTTGACTAAAACACAAGTTCCTGATGCAGGAATCCCTAATCGCAGCTAAACCTACCAATATGAATGGGGCCTTATCGGGAGTATATTAGTGTCCGTAGTTCCATACCAGGTATAATGAAATTTTATATTAAAGTATGAAATTTGGCAAGCGGCCCTCATGGGAGAAAAAAATTTGTCGAGTGGCACCCGAGTGAATTGAAATTGAGACCCCTGCTCTAAAGAGTCCCTCCACCTGAAAGCGACTTTTCAGTTTTTGGTAGATGCTGGGCAGGACCATAACCATGTGTGATGGGGCCTATAGCAAAACCATAAAAGAACACCTTATCTCTATAATCTACATCTCAAAGGCAATTCCTCAAGTCACGCATGATACTTATCGCTTTCACATTAATCTCAATCCAAAGATAGACTAAATTATTACTTTTGGATGGACTGACCACATGCTATTCAATTTTTGCAGTGTTATTAATCTGACCATTACCTGAAACAAATGCATAGAGTAAAGATAACCACTGAAATCAGATGGTGATCAGAAGAGAACTTGAAGCACAATAACTTCTGTACACTTACATTTTGCCCTATAGTCCATGTTACTGAAAAGCATAAAAGGAAGCAGTCAACCCCTAGCTCGAGACATAGAAACCCTAGTAAAATAGTCCACTGATAATTACTCCCAAGAAAATTAGATGATGATGTCCACTGGCACTCAACAATTATCACCAGCAAAGTGGCCTACATTCATAAGAGTTTCTTGAGGGATTTGTCCCAAACATGTGTTGCATTGCTAGCAAAATTGTGTGGCCTGTATATTGGTTCTTTGTACTGTACCAAAGGGTGGTTGCATTAACATGCTACAATACCTGGGATCTGTGTGCTGATAAACACAACAGCTCACTTATTATTAGCCATCAATACAAACAGATACTATTCTTTTTAATTGTAACCATATTGAGCCACCCATATCCAAAAGTGGCCAACATTCTTAAGTGGCCAACATTTCTTGAAGGATGTTTCCTGAACATGCATTGCATGCAAACTTGTGTAGTGAGTGGCCTGTATATTGGTTCTTTGTATTGTACAGATAAAAGGTTGGATTAATATATTACAATATTTGTCATCTGTGTGCTGATAAACACAACAGATCAATTATAAGTAGCCATCGATAAAAACATGAAAAATGATTTACAAGTGTATCCATATCAAGCCACTCATATCCACCAGACATCGCCAATTTCTGGCATTTTGCCTGCACTGAAAATCCAATTAACTGGGCCTGGGAAGAGATGGTACAGCAAGTTACTTTTCTTCATATACAATCTAATAATTGATGTACGGCTGCAAGAAGCTGATGTTTATGAATATTCTCTCTCCAGCAGTGATATAAATGTTATTTTATGTGTGTGGGTGAGAGGCTTCTAAATTATCTGTGGCAGCTTATTGAAAACGTCTGTACTTGGAAGGAACATATTTAAACAGGTTCAGCTTCATGCATATGTATATCATTAACCCATACAACAATATTATTTTTACTATCCATGTGGGCAATGGAATACACACAATATAATTCTTACCATTTATTACTGGTGTGTAGACAACAATCCCAACCAAGTTTGGGTCGGAAACAGTTGTGTCTAGTATAAGGCCGCCAACACTGGGGGGAAAAAAAAGGATCTTGTTAATAAGGCAGACTGTGCTAGGTACTTAATAACTTATTTAACATCTTGATTCTGTTTTAAGATGCTATAAGTTCAAGTAACAGTATCTCTTCTGGGACCCACTGAGGCTTTGTCACAAGCTATGCAGCAAAGATGTGAGACTTTCTTTGTAGTCAGTCTCTAGGATGTGCAAGTGGCTGCAGGCTTTAATTAATAGATGAGCACAGCCAAGACACACAGCAAAAGGAACACACAAGATAAAACTGGGAAGTAGAAAAGTTTCAAAACATGTTTTGCAGCAACTATTAAGCCATTTCGTATCATATGCTTGGTCTATAGGAAAGGAAAAGCAAAAAGAAAAAAAAGTCTGACAGAAGAGAGCTGGCAAATTATGTGTGATAAATATTTTATTGATGAAAAAAGTTATATGGGAAAAGCAGGTTAACACTAAAGTCATATAAAGGTCAAGAACCTCATAATATTTATAGTGGTATTGGGTTATTTGGCTGGTACCACTCACTGATTTCATTCAATAACTATGGTCTTAGAACTGTATCAAAAAAAAGAAAAGCTGTTACTCATCATAACCTCCTTTCTTCATCTTGTAACCTTCACTATATGGATGGATGGGGAAGCTAATGTTCCAGATATTTTCCATTATCAGGACCATAGCAAGGGATTAAAAAAAGTCATACAAATCCAGTAACAGACATTAAAATCTAGGTGCAAGAATCTTATTCTGAGTAGTGTGATAATTTATGCTTTCCACCAAGGTCAACAGAAATAATTAAAGCCCAACTTCAGACAGATATAACAAAATATCAAATAATTCAGTCATGTATTCATTTAATATCAAGTGAACCTGAGCTTGGCTAAAAAATACCCAAAGCCTGACGTTACCTGTGCTTGCCTTTGAATGACTTCCCTGTGTCGTCTAGGCCTGGGTAATACCTAGGGCCTACTAAAGTCGATGTTATGATCCACACCTCTTGGCATCCTAGATAAAAAAATTTTGCCAGCACACACAGGAACTTGTTGAAAAGTCTACAGCAGGGATAGCCAAATCAAAGATTTAATGTGACAGATCACATAAACGTGCAATGTTATGGGGCTGCCCAAGACTCTTTTATCACATGCCTGATGAAGGGGTTCTGCATGGCCCCAAAACATTGACTTTATATGATGTCTCAAATTAAAGCTTTGGGCTGTGCAACAAGCTGTGTTTACTCCTCACATTTTCTCTATGTTCTGTACTAATAACAGTCAGGAGTTTCAACAGCACCCTCACACACCTCAGGGTCTAATCCGGTACAATTTGTGGTGGGAATATATTGATTGTTTGTCTTGACATCCTGACCCCCATTATTAAAACCGTCAAATGCCAGAGCCTAGGTGACAAAGCAAGGTTAAGGCAGGGGCTTAGTGCCACAAGTGGCAGGCATTCATATCAAACCGGGAAGAAGGCCCTATCAACAGCCAGTATCTACCATCCAAGGGGCTCAGGAAATGCAGAGGGCTTCACCTGAAGGGCTCCACATCATGCCAGCACTTCTGCATTGTGGTTACTGTACGCACTTTTTCACCATCTATATAAAGTATTTGAGTTCAACTTTAAATCAACTTCTCCTAATCCACTGCACAGTACACGGCACACAGAGAGAGTAAGCAAGGCCATACACCATTGCATGGTGCTTTCAGTGTCAAAGAAGGGACATGTTGATGGAGGAAGAAAGCAAACTGGGCAAAATAATAATGCATCCTCAATGTGCAATAAATAGGCTGGACATGTGTACTGGACCAATCAGTTATGCTACTGCAATGAAGGTCCAGGATCCACCTGTGTCATCTGGTAGGGGTGTCTGGATCACTAGACTGGCTAAATAGAGTTACATAGAGTAGTCTTTTGGCAGGAAAGACAGATCATAAATATGCATTTCAATTGTGTATTTAGTGTACTGCAGAGAAATGCTGGGCAGGGTAACAATTTCACCACACTGCCACCCTAGCTATCTAGTCCAGCCAGCCCTTCCACAGAGCTAAGGGCAGTGCTATGCAGGTAGCCATAGTAAGCTGTCATTAGTCTGTTTACTCCAAAAAAATTAATTTTTAAATTGGCTGACTGGGTTACTGCAAGCTGTTTTTCTATATTTACATCTAATAAAAGTGCTGTTTAACTTAACAAACACACTGGGCATTCTGGCAAATGTGGCTTGACGTAAACCGCTGATGCTATGTGCATTTATATGTATGCATTAATGATAATGCCCCAGTGATGGATCAATGACAATCAAACATGTAATCAAACAATTCTTGAAGAAGTGGCCAAAATTCACACAGTGGGTGCCGCTGTCGGCACCCTTTCGGCCGGCATCCCTCAATCAGCTGATCAGCCAATGAGCTGCTGTTCTGTCTGGGTATTCAATGTATTGTCTGGCCGCTGGCAGAATACAAAGGACACAGCAGGGATTCCTTGATCAATGCGCTTGCAGTGTTGATGGAAGAATCTGCTCTATTTTTTTTGTTTAGCCCGCGGGTTGAATGAAAAAAAAAAATAATAGAGCAGTGTATGGGCAGTTTAACTTAACTGTTAAAACCTTTGAAGATGTATGCACCTTGCGTCTACAACATATAACATTCGCTTTATCAATTTATTTTTATATATATATGCACTACCTTTGCTGTCAGTGCTGGTGCTATTTTAACTATCTTGACTGTTTGTCTGCAAAAAAATCAGGATACGGATTTGTTTCCTACTGAGAGATAATCTATATTCTGAAATATTTCTATGAATTCATCTCTATATATTCATGGATATTTGTCATACCAATGTAATTGCATCCATGAAACAGAGGCACCCTGCTGAGGAAAGCACCGTGTGCCATGATCATAACTTAGCTTGTTGTGATGACTGTTATGCAAAATCTGTACAATCTGATGTCAAGTTAAAAAGGTTGCTTGTTTTTTTTAAAGCAGAACTTCCCCATTTTGTCCTCCTCTGCCAACCGTGGTTGTTTAAAGTTGCTGTGGGTTATGTGGGGGAGCCAACCAAAGGGTCATTTTTAACTAGATGGGGAAAGCATAGTCTTTACAAATAATCAAAATGAATAAACCCGTGCTTTTTAACTACAGAAATCTCAAAAGTATTTTTTTTAAAGAATTTAGAGCTAGTGTCAAGTTTTTATGAATGTTGCAAGTTTCCTTTGTTTTTATGGGGTTTTTTTGCCTCCCTTTCATCTTCCCGTGTCCAGGCTGCCTCCACATATCCAGGTTGATTCTCCCTCCAGCCTCCCATCACCAGGCCGCCTCCCCTTTCACCCTGCCATCACCAGTCGGCCTCCCCTTCCACCCTCCCATCACTAGGCCACCTCCCCCTCCCCAGGCTGACACTCCCTCTATCCTCCCATCACTAGACCGCCCCCCCTCTTTCATCATCAGTCGCCTCCCCCTCCGCCTTCCTATCTCTAGGCTGCAGGTGTTATAGCAACGTTTGCGACTACGTTAGAATGTGTGAGCGGTGATGTGGTCACACATTTTAACGTAATCCTGCACAGTTTTACAGCGCTGGAATGTGTGACCGGTCACCTATTTTACCGTAATCCCGCCCAGTTTTTCGGCGATGGAATGTGTGACCCCTAATAGGTCAAGCATTCCAACGCTTTCTCATCTGTTCCGGGGCATATCAGCATTGCAGATTGTATGTGCAGGAGAACCGATCTGCCCTGGAACAGCTGTTTGGTCCTGAAATGTCACCAGTGCGATCTCACATTCCACAAAGTCAGATAGAAGTGACATTTCAGGACCGATCAGCTGCTCCAAGGCCGATCGGTTCGTTCAGCTTGGAGCTTTGCGCTAATGATCCAACCAGCCAACGATTTGTTTTAGAAGATGAATCAAATGATGGCACCTTTATTTTATAGAACTACAAAAATCAGAGGAAAGATACCTACCTGCTAATAAGCATTGCAGTGATGACTGGCTCCCAGCCAGAGTGCAGGACAATTCTTGTTGCCGGGTGTTTGGATGCTACTACAATCCATATTGGAGTTAGAGCCAAGAAGAAAGCACCAACCAGCGGTGACACAAATGAATATGAATCTAGAACACAGAACAAATAGCAGTAATGATATTTCTTGTATGTGTACAGACAAGACAAAAAAAATGAAACATTTCTTTTAGGACAGCAAGTAACAAACAAACAAACATGTTTTAGTACAGTCAGGAAGTTTTTTTTATTGCTGTTTATGCCTTTATATCCAGGCAACACCTACACTCTTCAGTTCTTGTATGGGCCTCAGAGGGATAGGCACAGATCATAATAAAAACTTGACAAATTCTTAATTCTTGCCTACTCTATCTAAAAGTGGGATCTAGCTTTGGAAAGGGTAAGGGTGGCCATACACCTAAAGATATCTCTCACTCAGCCCAGCAGGCTGAACAAGAAAAATCACTCAACTCCCCTTAAGCAGCTTGAATTGACAAAGCTCCACTGCATTCTGACAGTGGGCACCCGAAGCTGTCAGAATACTCGAACAGTGACTGCAGCTGATTAGCTGCAGTCACTGTTAGGCTGACTTTTTATGCTTGGCTCTTTTAATTTTCAGTTGAAGCTTCCCTCATCTCACATTCCTACATTTAGGAAATTTATGGGTGTCATTATTATTTGTCAATGCAGTTGAGGTTTGGTGGAATCATGAAAAACAGAAAAAAAGACAGTAAAAATGTTTCTTAGTTGCTTTAGTAATATAAGGAAACAGTAGAAAAAGACCTATTATTTGGTGCATTTAAAATGATGTCCCTAGTTTCCACGTCTACCACAATGTCCTGTGCCCGGAATGCAAGGGATCGCATACATAAAGTCTCTTTGCCTTCTGGAGCGGGAGGGGGTGTGGCAGTGCCATTCAAATCAATAGCACTGCAGATACGCCCCTGTCCTCAGTACGATCGGCGGCACAGGAACACGTGGGAATAGAATGAATGCCCTGTGTCCCAGCACGGTGTGATTGCAAAAAAAAAAAGTGCATGCGTGATTTTTTGTGATGGCACCGCACTGGAATACAGGGCATTTTATTACCACACGTTCCTGTGCAGCCGACCAAACTCTGGGCAGGGGGCGTGTCTGCAGTGCCATGTACTTGAATGGCACTGCCATGCCCCAGAACACAAGGAGACTTTTCGAATGTGATCCCTTGCGTTCCGGGCACGGGACATTGCGGTAGACGCACGGACTGGTGGAAACAAGCTCTTAGAGCTAGTTCACACCAAATGCAGTTTGGCAGCTGCATCCAAAATGCATCACAATCCACTCTCTGTTATAAATTAAACCTTAAATGTTTTAAAAGCTTGCACCTTGAATACATATTTAGTTATGCAAATGAAAAGTATTACCAATATTGTAAAGAGGAACACCAGGATTTTGAAAAAAAGTTAACCCTTGTAGTGGGGCTACGCTCACACTGCAAGTTACGGTAACTGCTCCTTTTGGTCTAATCACAAATAAAATTTAAATTTTAAAGTTAAATTTAAAAAATCCTGTAGTTCTTCTTTACTGTTCCTACAGCCCGATCAGTGAAAGATCAATTGCTACCTCACTGCACTCCCATTACTGATAATTGTTCCTTTGAAAATAATAAATCAATTACCAGTCAATATGTTGGTACTGCAGTACAAAAAGTGACTGCCATATACTCCTCTCTGGATATTTTCAGTCTATCAGGTCGAGAGCCAAGAATAACCTTGAACCAAAGATATTTAGCAGGAAACTTTGGCAGAAGAAACTGCTTCATATGTAGAGTCAATAAAGCAAAACACTTAGAGGAATACAACATGTCAGATAGCAGAGCTTGTCTATACCATTAGGGATAGTGGTACACAGCTAATCAATATGTAAACAGCTGGTAAAGTTGCATTATGCATCTTCTGTGTGGGTGGTTCTCACAGATGATTATGAAGTATTGTTTCAGAATTTCTAAAGTCTAAATCAATAGGAAAGCCAAACGTAATGGATTCTCCTGAAAAACTTCACTCTCTCATCCACAAATGTATGTAGATAAAGGTAGCTTTAATAGTTAGCATTTGTTAGATGGATTTCCTCTTACCAGTCAATTGCTAGCTTAAATTAGATTATTATTAATTAAGTGGAAAGATCAAGGATGTGCAGTAACCATAGCAACCGATTAGGAACCAGAAGATTGGTATAGGCCAACAAAAAGTTGGTTTTTGATTTGCTGCAGTCAGCTGCAGAACACAGTGTTTACATTGTTATTCCTATCACTCCATCCATGGAAGAAGCAAGCTATAAAGACCAGTCGAGAATTTTTTTTGCCCAGCCACAGATGCCAGAGAATCCTGGGGGATTCCAAGGATTTTTCCTTGTATTCTAATCTGGAATCTGTTGCATCCATATTACATGCAGCTCCTCATATATGTAGTGCGAGGATCTGATTTCTGAAGAGCATGTTGTGGAACCCTCTCACTCACTTAATGTAGTGATCAGATTCAAAATGTCCAAATCACATCTAAATTGGCCATACCAACCAGTACAATAATGGAGTACTGACACTTATGCATGCATACATCAGGTTATAAGAGACAGCCAAGAACATTCAGTGGGTATGCATACGAATGCATTTCCTGCATTACATAAAAGGTAAACTCAAAGATTTACCAGTTTACCCAAAACAGGAAGTAAATTAAGTGCATCTACCTCAAAAACATAATATATTGCAGCTTACTGATCCTTAAACGTGGTGGCTACAGTCATTTTCTTTGGCTTTTTCCTTTTTTTTTTTACCTGGTCACCCAGCCAGTAACACACTTCCTGTTTTAGGGTGGCTCCATTCTATGGAGAAATAACAGAGCCACCCTTAGACAGCAGCATGGCCACCCTGTGGGGAGGGTAATGTCAACTTTAAGGAGAGTCCTGTCACTTGGCCGAAATTTGACCAAGTGTACGCCAATGCTGTCATGTTGGCTTGGATGGGGAAATCTAGAGGCTGAACAAGAAAAAAACTGCGTGTGGCCAACTTTAGGAACACTAGAAGATTTACTTGATAAATTAAAGTCACACTCCAAGTAAAACTTTTTAAGCAATTACAACAGTTTTTTTTCTTCCCTTTATGATAAAGGTTTTACATGAATGAATAAAAGCTGACCATTGTAAGCAACCCTGTCAGTGTTAAATGGCTTGTCTCAACCCACTATGTGCCACTTTGTTGATCAGCTTGGTCTGTTAAAGGAAGATGAAAAATAACAGACTTACTGGCAGAAGATGAAAATGAAGGAAATGCGAATATGGGACACTCCAAAATTACTGAAGAGTACATCTTTTATTGACACATGTGCATGTCATCACATAATAGCCTAGACGGTCAGGAGTGCAATGTGCTTATAGACTTTTCAAAATAAAGGAAACACCCCTAAAAAATAAAGCTATTGCATCCACCACATTTATGAATTGGTAAGCAGCAATATATTCAATTTTTGCTTTTGGTTTTCAATGCACATTAAGGTGGAATGCTGGTTCAAAGCTAAGCATGGATTGAAAAAATAAAGCAGGAGTTTCTTTATGCACCTGAAATATTTTTTTCAGTTATAACTACAATATGGCTATTTGTCTATGAATTAGCTCTAGCAAAACTTCATCTTCCAGTCAGTCTGTATGTTTTTTTAGTGAGGGCATCTTGTAAGGTCTAATCCAAGTGCATCAAAGATACTATAGTCTAGATCAGGGGTAGCCAAACTCTGGCCCTCCAGCTGTGGTGGAACTCCAAATCCCATGGGGCATTGCAAGATTCTCACAGACATGACTCTCACAGACATGATATGCATCATGAGATTTGTAGTTTCACCACAGCTGGAGGGCCGGAGTTTGGCTACCCCTGGTCTAGATATTTAGCCCCAATACAAGACAATAGAAAAAGCAGAAAATCCTTATTTAATGATAAGAGCTTTGTTGCATTTCAAGTAAAAGATTAAAGTTATAAAGATCTCACTCTGACTTAGTAATCCCTCTTTCTTTATCTTGTTTTTAATGGCGACCCCTAAAAACAAAAGAGCACCATGCGGATTATATAATCCTGTTTTGTGTATAGCAGGTATATCTTAGAGCAAGAGCTGACCTGTCTTATTCCTCTCCTTGCTAGGGTGGCCATAGATCGTATTTAGAGGCAGCTGCAAAGTGTGGAAGGCAGAAGCAGTAGACAAGACTTTCCTTTCAGAGGCCAATATCTGTATGTTATTTTTTTCGCCAAAGTTTAGTCCCCCAATGGCCTCTACAGGAAAACTAAAACTGCATCCTAATCTGTATCAAAGCTAAAGCAACATATTAGCGTGCATTAAACCTTGATAATAACATATATACTTGAGTTTCTGAAAATTAATAATGGGTTTTCCAACTAAATTATTCTGAATTATGGTATATGCAAACCTGGTAAGATCATAAGAAAGGATTCCATAATACCTGTTGGATATTTTTAATCTTTTTTACGGATAGCACAACAGAAGATGATGGAACACACAAAAAGGCGGCAATGGGTACTAACAAAAACTCTAAAATGGACAGGAACGTAGGCAGCAATCACTGGCACCTATGACAAACACTTAGATGGAATTAGCTTTTAAGGTGGCATGACCTAATACTGTTTTCATTAAAAATGACGTCCCTGTAGACCCAGAGCAATTAAACACATTGACAATAAGCATCAAAGCATTGCATGTTTAGAAACCAATCTACAATATGTAATACTGTACATGCATAAATATCTGTTAAGTCTAGGGAGCCATCTAGTGGTAGAAACAGCACAGAAAAAAGCACAGCACATAAGTACTACTGAAAGAAAAACTTAATTGATATAATTTAAAACATTGAAAATAAACCTGTAGACAACTTTACAAGTGCACAAATGTATCTTCAGAAAGTGCTTCAAAGTTTTCAATTGCAACACTCCTAAATACACAAATCTTTGAACAATACATTTACTAAAGAGGCAGCTCATTATAGCATTTCAGGTTGATAGATCATACTTTTTAAGCTGACAATATATGCTGCAATAGCTGCAGAGGTAATTAGTATTTCAACAAAATCATATACCTATGGTGCTACAAAGACCACTGTGTAAGTAAGGAAGGATAATTTTAAAAATAAGCAGACACTGTAGAATATGTGGTAGGAATGTTTCCTTAAATGCCATTTTTTCTATCTGCTCAAACAGGCTTTAGAAAGGAACTGGGCAATCTTTTTTTATCTGTTAAGGAGGCATTCTTATCAAATCTGGCCATAAATGCAGGTGGCTAAAGTAGACGTGTATCCCACCAGCTGGCACTGTACGAGTGGGAAGAAAGGTCCATGCATAGCCAGAGTTACAATTAAAATGGGAAAGTGATATATCAGTAGATGGTTCCAGACATCTGATTTGAGCTCCATGCATCAACTCACAGTCTCACCGTGTCATGTACACATCAGAATGAAAATTCCTATTTCCTGCCAGGCCAAGGCCAGGGTGAGGTCAGCCCACAGCCTTAAATTCGGCCACAGCCCAGACAAACTCCAGAACACTGTGACATTGTATGTAATTACTCACCCATTAGCTAGGGGTCAGGAGAACTCAACAGAATATATCCTATTGGCTGACACAGTTTTGCATATTAGTGACAGAAGCACATTAAACAATGTAACCTAACAGGGAAAGAGTACTATCACAGTGCAATAGTCCTAAATGTATTAAAAGTACATTGAGCCTTTTTTTTTTCCTAGGTTTTTTATTAGATATTGCTGCATCAAATATAAGATCATTCTGTAAGATCATCATAAGAGAGACAATTATGTGGGATCATTATAAGCGATACAGTTAAAAGTCAATTCTCAAGGGAACGCACATGTTTTTAGCTATAAAAAGGTACATGTCCCTTTTGATGCGTTGTCTGCACATTCAACTAAATGGGCTGCACTAACACAATGCACATTAAGGCACAGTACAACTCAAATTATTGCACGTGTTAACGCAGTGCACCAAAATGGAAAAGTCTTAAAGAGCCCCAAGCAAGCATCCACTACAATTACAGATTTTGAAGCTTTAGCAGTTAAAAGAGTAAATACACTTACCAATGCAGCTGTAAAGACCTTGGCTTATCCATGCCAATATAGCAAGGGTGATGAGATCCCCAAAACTAGCAGCAATGGGAGTAGCAACATTGTCCGGGTTTATCCCAGTTTTCTTTGATCCAACAATTACTCCTACCATAATTATACCTGGAGTGTCAAAGAAAAAAAGAATGTATTAACGCTAGTTTCAGAAGGAGGTCAGCAATGGCGACCCCTGAACATATCTCATGTCAGGTTGCCAAATATATTGCATACTATGTACTAATGTATTGTATCTTTTTCTTCTTTTCCTCTTATCATGCAAACATAATAAATAATAAGCATGCTTGCTGTACAATTACATTATTCATGAATCAGAAAACATAGAGGAAGCTTGGAAAGCCTTACATACATCAATTCTAGGTCAGCAACTTAAAGTATTAAAGCAAGAGGGTTAGCATTACAGCTGGAATTTACTGAATGAGGGGTCAGCAATCGAAGCTGCCATGTTTCCTTATGTCCATTCAGTGCAAAGTGACAGCGTCAACTGATAGCCCACCTTCCCCAGAAAGGTATACTCCTTGCTACGCTGTCCTTCACTGCCTCCCTGCGCCATCAGAGCCCTCTCTCCAATGCTGTAATACAGCGGGGCTTGTGGGATGGGGAATAGTGCCTGGACCTGATTGGCCAATCACCGGGCTAACATACTGTCACATGTGGGGGCAATACTGTCTTCCACGCAGGTAAATGACGACACCATGTGATACAAGAGCTTACTTTGGGTGGACCCCTGTGGTGGGAGGTGGCAAAGGAGCATAGATCCATAAGTATTCATTGGTGGGAGTAAGTCAATACCTCCACATTTCCTTTCCATCAGTTTTTAACACATGTATTAAATACATCTTTTTTACCACTTGAGGCACTCTATAACATCAAAATCCAATGAATAGTTAAAAAAACAGACCATCTTCACAGAATGGCCTTTTTCTCTTCTATAGTAGCAGTTTGCTTACCTTGAAAAAGTGATGCGATAAAAGCAGTCGCTACGCTACTAGAACAGAGCAGTATTGCATGGTCCAGACGGTATTTACCCTCTGGAATCCAGCCTAAAATAACTGCTGCAACAGCAGCCAAAAATCCAACCACTGTTGCTTGTACCTGCAGAGAGAGGGAGAGAAAGAGAGAGGCAAAGCATTACTGAAGCCAGAAAACATTTATAAAACAGAAAAGTATAGGAGCTACTTATTTTTGATTACTCTCCAAATAATGTTGCATCCTACAATAAAAAAGTCATGGAGGTTCCATCAACAGTGTATCACTCAACTACTCTAGCATTCAGATGTTAGCAGAATCCCTAAAGCCTATCTCCAGGTAAAAAAACAAAAACCCTGCCCTATACTGCAATACTCCTTTGTGTGTAGGGCTATGGAGAACTTTTACTTGCCTAATCCCTGCTCCCCCGCCAATCAGCAATCACCTTTCTCCCCTAAGGCTCATGGACTGTCTCTTGGTATCTTCATGTATAATGCAGGTCTTAGGTCAAGTTATACTCACCCAGTCCTTGAAACCAGCTTCTTCTTAGATTGTTCCCTGTAGACCTCTCCCCCTCTGCTGCAGCAGTCTAAAGGTCCCATATATCACCACATTCTATGCACGGTGTATAGGATGTAAGGGTGCCAAGTCACATACTATCATTGCAGCAGAGAAGGAGACAGGCTTGAGGGAGCGGTGTCATAGTCCGCAGGCTCTGAGAATCAGGTGAGTAACTTTTTTTTTTAAACCTAGACAAAAATGAGCAGATAACCCTTGCAGTGTGGGGGTAGTAGCCCCTGTTCTATCAAAGTTTGTGACTAGGTTGGAATGTGTGATCGGTCACATGGTAAAATTTGTGCCCGGAGGTCTGCTTCAATGCTGGCCACACATGTTGCAATTTGAATGTAAACCACCTTTGTATTTACATCCAAATCAGGCAGGCCCTCACACTACATTGCCACTGATAAATATAAAAGATCAGATTATAATATGTGTGACCAGTTTAAAAGATAAAAGCTATGCGGATGAGATGAATCTTACATAGAACTTCTGTTCTCGTACAGAGTGAAAACCAAGTCTGTAGGCGTTTACATCTCAGACTAGAAGAGGAACTGCCTAGAATTGTTTGAAAAGCAATCATTTTGTCAGTAACTCAAAAATAAAAAGTAGTGATGTATGCAAGGTTGGGGGGGG